AAACGCAGTTACTTCCCTAGGCAGGATTCTAACTAAGTGGAATATTCAGTTGATCAACTCTTACCAAATTCACATTATAGAAATGAATTAATTAGTTTTGGTATATCTTGAGCATTTATTAAGTCCATTTACATGGTGTCAGAACCAATCATTCATTATTGGCCAAATCGGTGATGCAAATAATATCCAAATACCCCATTTTCCCCCTATATCTATATACCCTCTCTCTGTAAAGTCAAAGAAGCTCTTGGTAAGATCAAAGAAAGAACCTGTTCTTGCTCCGTAACGAATTCTTCCAATAATTGCGAATTTCCCCTTTTAAAAGGCGTACAGTACTTTTGTGTTTACGAGCCAAAGTTTGAAGACAAGAAAGGCGAAGCTAAGTATATACTGGATTCGATACAAATTCTTTTTGTTTGCGGATCCTCTGTAATGAAAGATTTCTGGATATACGCACAAATCGATTAGATGTGATCTTTCTGACTCATATCTTGCTGGTTTAGTAAGCCTTTATGATTATTCAAAGTAATGGATAGAAAGAAAGCCCCCTCCTTTTTCTTGTTCTTTGTGTCAAGATAGGAATGGGAGCTGTTTGAATGGATGCCTCCTTGTTGAATCAGCCAAGTCAGTAGCCTTTCTGCGGGATTGACTTGTTGATGCAAGGAATAAAGGGCAGCTTTCTTTGATGCCAAGAAGAAGTGGAGGAATAACTGCAGCGAAATCATCTGCAGCACATTTCTTCAGGGGCCCGCTCTCAAAGGTAAAGATTATTTGTCAAGGGCAAAGAAATCTCCTCCTTCTTCAGGCGAGATCTAATAGAGGAATCCTTCCGTAGCCCGACTAGAATAAAGCGCTTGTGTCATATTATTATGATTTATATAACATAGAAAGCAAAATCAAACAATTTGATACATTTTTTCTCTGTATTTTGTATTAGGTATCTAATCTAATATGAGTCACCTTTTATTGGTTCTTCTTCTATTATTCTTATTATTCTATTACGTTTTAGTTTATATAATTTATACTTGATAGTCGGAATTGTCTTTTCATCTCTATCTTCTTTTTCTTTCAGTTCATCCTATTTAAGTTTGTTAATTAGACCCACATAAGTCTGTTATTTCTTTATTTAAGTTGAGTATTAACCAAAAGATGATTCTGATCATAGACTGGATCTCTTTTTCTATCCATTTTGATTCCAAGATTGATATTCATATCTTTTTTCAAACTAATTTGCTTTTTTTCTATCAACAAAGAAATTACGCGTATATGTAATTACTTCACTCTGGTTGGGTTCATTGTATTTTGATTGATACCACTCACGGCTTACTAAGTCTTTAGCTGGACCTTTGTGTTTAAGTAGAAAAGTATATCATCATTTTGACTCACTAATAGATAGAATTTAGGTGCTAAGAAGTAACCATTCTCTACTTTATACTCATTCATTTTCCCAATTTAGTCGATGAAAGCTCTTCTTCAGGTATTGGATTTACTGGAACAGTTGAGTCAGTATAGTAATAGTATTCAGTAATAGTTTTCTCTGAAAATGTACTTGTAGATATGAATAAGCTGTAATAGCAGCCGACATTTGAACAGCTAATTCTAGGTGGATTCCAGTCAATGTCGTTAACATCAGCAGTCTTTATCTTATAAGTCAAAAGTAATGATCGCCCAGATTCTTAATATCAAAGAAAGATTGACTCTTTATCACTTCTTCAAATCTCTCTCTAGTGCATATATCTTATCTCAGTTACTCTACTTTCTGGATTAATACCTAATCTCCCATATAGTATAGTGCGTTCATAAGAAGAAGAATTTTATATAAGACATAGCTTCGTCACCTTTCTTCTTAGATTGATTAGATTTTTGTCTACTTGCAGTGATGAGATACATTTTGAGAAAAGGACTAGAACACTTTTCAAATTAGAATCTCCGGTATAACCTTGTAACCCAAGTTTTTTGCATATTGAACCTCTTTGCTATAATAGATCCCCACAAATTCGCCTGTTGGGAATAGTCAACTTCCACCCCCTTTATTCTTTTATTCTTTGTCTCGAGAGGGAGATAAGAAAGATATGACTGACAGAGTCAAAGCTTCATGCTCACTTATTAACTAGATTCCAAAGCATGACAAACCTAAATGCCATTAACTGAATGCGTACTTCATTCCAAGCAAGCTTGAATTTAGTTCACGCTTTCCCAGTTTCTGATTTCCGAGCATTGCGCTTAGTCAGTGTCCAGCTTGCAGATGATTCAGCTACTTTGCCTTCCTACTAAAAAGAAAAAAAGAAAGAACTCCTTCCTTACCCGCCTCTCCTACTCCTACCTTTGTACTACAAACCAGCCTTTTACTCGAACTCCCGTTACCGCTGTCCATATTGGCTTGTCTTTGCTTTCCAGGATTTTGCCATCATATTAGCCTCCACATGTTTGCCTTCCTTTCACTCCAGCATATAGCCTGTCTTGTAATTCTTAATTGGCTGATTAAGATCACTCCACCATTGGTTGTTCTTAATCTAAATCCCCTAGGTAGGAATGCTCTTTGTCTTGAGAAAACCAGATCAGGATCAATTGTTGTTATCACTCCCTATGCTTCCGCGTCCCGTACCCCAACCACTTAACCTTAACTAATAGATGCTAGTTGTTGGTGGAACTGCTGCTTGGATTATCTAAGAATAGAATGATGGCTGGAGACAGAGAGGTGACGGGGCTTATCATGCCGGGTAAAATGGAGAGTTGGGTCTTCTCCTCACCCGTGAGCCTGATGAGTCGACCAATTCCTCCACCCCCTTTCTATCTCTTTACTTGACTATTTTTTGATAGGGCAGACAGCCCACACTGAACACCAAGCCAATTTCACCTAAGAAGATGTGCACTACATTCGATTAATCCAAGAACATGAAACTTATAGTAAGCGAGTAAGGTACTACCTATCGTAAGAGCTAAGAGCAAGGCTAGCTTCCATCCCTTGCTTCGTACCTATCTTCCATAATTTCGCCTAACAAAAGTTGGATGACCGGTTGAGGCTCTTGTGCTGAGATTGACTTTGTGTTAAGGGGTTCAGGGTCTTATTCAATATTGTCTTAATGGATACTTTCGATAGGGAGTTTGAAAAAAGGCGCTAAACTGCTTTTCTTTTCATAGTCCCCATTGGTGAATTATCGGTGGTCTCTCCCTCGCTAGTACTACTGATCTAGGTTTTCATTCTTTCTAGTGTTCCACTATAAACATAGAAATTAACGTTGACTTCCATTCGAGGAGCGGAAGCAGCTCGACTGAATGAGTGTAACGAAAAGATACGTATTGAAAGTAATACCTATTGTTGATAAACTCATACGTAGCCTCTTTCCTATGGACGTTATCACAGTCCTATAAGTGTTTGGTTTTCTTCATATCTGATGAATTCCGATTTAGTTAGTCTATACCTACCTTAATGGAAAGGAATCGAAGAAGAAGAGAATATAAGTGAATGAAAAATGAAGGGAAGACAGATTACAATTTCTTTCGAGCGAAATTGAACTAAGAGGGGGACGGTGTTTAGCCCAGACTTGATACTTATAATCCTTATAAACTTTACAGAAGGGAAAGCCCATGGCCACACACATAAGAGAAGAGTAGACAGCCATGGTGTTCTTTCCCCTTTCTCTTTGGCTTTTACCGAGTGAAAGAGTGTTTGATTGTTCAGTAGCTCATTCTTCTTCTCCCTGAATTTCTTCTTGAACTATAAAGATAGGTTCACTCTCATTAAGCTTGTCTTGCTGAATTTCTTCTTTCTCTGTAAAGGAGTTAAGCTAATTCATTTCCTCTCTAGTCAGTAAAGGTGATTGAGTATAAGGTTCCGACAATAGAGGTTCGGGTTCAACAATAGCTAATTCATTTATTCTTGTTTTGGCTTTCCTTACTGTTCCGGAGCAATTAAGAAGGAAGAGGAAAGAAGCCAGCAGTGAGACAAGGAACCGGGGACAGGTGATTGAGTTCCAGAGCTGATCTTTCTTTCATTTATTTCCTCCCCTGTAAAGGAATAGAATATCTGATTCTTCTTCTTTCTCGTCAGGGTTCCGGGTTCAGTAGCGTCTTCATTAATTTACTCTTTCTTGAAAACAGTTAAAGGATAGGTTCAACTTTCTTGCTTTTGGTTGGAAAAGCTGCTAATTCAGCATTTAATATCCCTTCTAGAACTGTCAAGTCTGATTAATGTGTCATCTCCCTTTAAAGGCTATTAGTGGGATAGGTTGAGTCTGATTAATGTGTCATCTCCCTTCTTTCTCTACTCTATCTCCGGTGAAGGTTCAGTAGATCAGTCTCTTTCCTCTCCCTCCCTTCTTTGTTCCGGTTCTGGTTCAAGATTTCATAATGATTTATTTCCTTCTTTGTTTACAGTTCAATCAGTTAAATAGATAGGTGAAAGAAAAAGACAAAGAACAGATTCGAGACACACCTACCTTGTTTACTGTTCAATAATAACTCATAATAATTAAGTAGAAAGAGAAGAAAAAGAAGAAATAGGGACAGGTGAAGAAGATTGGGTTCCGGTTCCGTTTGAGGTTGAGTCTGACAGTTCACTCTCATTCATAAGGAAGGAGTATTGCTCTTAGTTTACAGTCTTCTAAAGAAGAAATAGGGACAGGTGAAGGAGAAAGAATATGCTTTACCCAGTCTTTAAAGGTGAGAAGGAAAGAAAAGATTCGAGACACACCTTGTTTATAGTTCAAGAAGGTGAAGGAAAAAGATAGTGAAACCCGAGTTGGATAGGTTCAGGAAAAGGGTTTCGGTTGAGTAAGTAGTGATTGATTGAGTTTACTGTGAAAGAATAACTCACAATAACGGAACAAGTAGTTCAGTCGAATGAATCGAGAGTTGAGTCTGAACTCGAATGAATCTTACTTGAGTTTCATCTTTTAAAGCTGCTAACTCCTGAATTTCTTCTTTCACTGTAAAAGATAATTCATCTTTAGTTGAGTCTTTGTTTTCAGTGTTTGAAGGAATAAATAGGGAATATCGTCAAAGGTGAAGGGAAGGTTAATCAATAAGGTAACAGGTTCGGGAATAGAGTCAAAGGTTTAAGGTTTCGTCTTTCCTTCCTCATTACCGAGTGTTGGAATAAATAGGAAATGGAATAGCTTTACCTTGTTCAATCTGGGAGGGAGTTAAGGAGAATGAATCTTATCTTGTCTTGCCTTTGACTTTCCTTATTAATTACCTCGTTCAATTAACCATTTATTCTATTTACCTCCTCGTAAACAAAGAAGGTGAAGGAGAGAAGCCTATTTACCGAGTTCCTTCAGTAGTTCAGGCAATGGAATTGTGAGACCGAGTTACATCAGTTGAATTAATCAATCTTTTTTCTCTTCCATCTTTGAATTGGATTTGACCTTGTTCAAGAAGAGAAGGTTCAGCTTTCGTCTTTCAAAGCTCCTAATGAATTTACTCCCCTGTAAAGAAAGCAGCTAAGGATTGAATGAATTGACTCTCCCTACTATCAAGGAGAATGCATCTTTCTTGTCTTGCTTTTGTCTCCCTCAAATACAGTAAAGGAGTAAGGAATGTTTCATCTTGACTTGAAACAAACACTTGAAGGTGAACGAGTGAAGCAGTTATAGAAGGTGAAGGGAAGCAAAGAGAGAGAAGAGACAGACCGGCCATATGTCCTCTTAATTAAAGAAGGTAACAGGTAAGTAAATAGGTAAAGCTGCTGTTAATGAATGGACTCTCCTTTACAGTCTTTGTTTGAAGGGAAAAGGTTTGATGAGGTTGAGTATTGACTTGTTGGAGAGGTTCAGGAGAATGCATAGGAAAGGTGCGAAGCCACAAGACCTAGTTTATCTCCTTAATGAAATAATAAGGGATCAGGGAATAGAGTATAAGGAGCGGATCATACAGCCTATGTTTACTGCTCAAGAATAGGGAAAGGATCCAGATAAGAGAGAGAATAAAAGACCTAGTTACCGGGTTCAAGCAAGAAAGGATCAGAGAAAGAATCAAAGAAAGACCTAGTTACCGGGTTCAAGCAAGAATAAAGAGGAGAGCGAAGCAATGAGAGACCGTAAAATAGTTAGTTCAACCCTTTAGTTGTCGAGTAAATGAATTAGCTTCTTTAGTGCTTTACCAGAGAGTCAGTCAAAGAGTGAAAGCAAGAAAGAAGAAAGAGCTGTTCCAGAGGGTATAGGTCAGGTAATAGTAGAAAAGAAGAATGAGCAAGTGGTTCCAATGAATAAAAGGAGTATTGATATCTTTTACAGTGAATAAATAAATAGAAGTAATTGAGTTTAGGAGTTTCCCTACTATTTAATGAACCATACATAACTGAATAGAGGAAAAGGTTAAGGTTTTCTCTTTCGTCTTTACTTCCTGTTCACTCTCATTCATAGTTCAATGAGTCTAATTCATCAATAGGTGAATATCGGTTTCTTTTCTTCTTTCGTTTCGTCTCATTCTTGTTTCGTTTCTTCTTTGTTTGGTTCCGGTTCATCTTTCTTCTTCTTTTCTTTCACTCAGTCTCGTATAGAAGTTCTCTTCTTTCTTTTTCTATTTCTTCTCAATTCCGATTCTCCTTCCTCTTCTTTTCCTCTTGTGACTTCTGAATAATCAACTATACAAAAGTCCCTTCATTATCTTACTTTCTCTCTCCCTTGAAATGGCTTCCTCCCCTGCTATGAGTTCTCCTTTCGACTGGTTGACGCTTAGAGCTGAACTACCACCTAGCGCACTAAGGCACCTTATAAGGCTGGATCAACTGAATCCGATAGTAGTTGTCTCTGTCCACTAGAGTGGTGAATGAAAAGCATATTCTCCTATTGCAAGAGTGCCACGGAGGCGCTTGCTTAGATGAGAGTGGAGTTCCTTCACTTCCAATTGCTTTCCTCTCAACCTCGAACAACCCCACAGCCTCTCTCTCGTGGGCTAACCAATGCGCCCCTACTAACAGCTATCTAATGCAAATATCTCATTTATGAGCCATATTTGCCTGAATTAAAGGCAACTGAGAGCCAAGCAAGCAAACCGTAAGGCCCACTCGACCTGTATGGATTCCGAAGAACTATAAAATCAAATGAGTAAGCAGTATACTTTCAGTCTAAAGTTTCAGATATCAATAGTAGTGAATATCTATATTTTCCAATATTCAATTGATCGTATGGAAAGACGCCTACACGGAACCTATACGAAGGAGCAAACAAGCCCCGTACTCTACTTGAATTTGACTAGGCATTGATTCTCATCTCGTTCAATCAATCGGCCCTCCTAGGACTGTTGTTTCAAGAATCTGACCTTAGCAACCCGAAACGTGAGCGGGGAAGCTGACTACACCTTAGCCCTTTGACTTGAGTTTGATTTCTGCAGTGCTTTATGAGCCGACTGCAAGCACATACCTATGGATCTATGTCACCAAAAACCCCCAGCAAGTTTACCAACCAGCACAGATCTTCCCAAGCAACTTCCAACTGAGCTAACTAGACATGTATCGAAACCTGGCCTATCTCCTCATTCGCCGCCCCAGAAAGCCTTCCCCACCAACTCTATCTTCACTTCTTGTTCTGATTATGAGGGAAACGGTTTGAAACCCATAACTAGGGATCTGCACTCCCACTCCACTTTGCCTTCATCCAAAAGACCTCTCGGAGGAAGAACTTGAATCCTTCCACCATTATCCACAACAGGTTCAACAAGGTGAGGCGAAGAAGCTAAAATGAATGAGCATCCTAGGAAGCCCTAGAGAAGGAAAGACGAATTTGATAAGCTAATGTGAGAAGCTAATGCCGTGGATCGCCCTTTACCTTGTAGCAGGAATTAGTTATCCGGGGAATGAGTCTTCGGCGGGAAAGGATGTCGATCCAATACAGGTACAGGTCGCTAATTATCCCTTGGACTAGTTAGCCTGAATGTCCAATAGCAATAAAGCAAAGAGAGAGGGGAAAGCTGCCCGAAAGTGCCTATTTGGAAGGTGAAAGCGCCTAACAGTTTGCTACTGAGGCTCTCTTCTCTCCCCCCTTTGAGGTATCGACTTAGCCCGAGGTCAACAAAAGTGAAAAAGCTGGGTTTAACATGGAAAAAGCGTCATCCCGCTTCTTCTTCGACTATGAATAGATTCTCTTTCTCCATAATTGATGGAAGCCACGTAGGAAGGAGACTCTGAAAGAGCTTTGCGCCTGTGCGTGAAGGAATAGACACTCTGATGCTGAGGAAGAGACTGAAAGACAGATTTCTTTTGGAACGGATATGACTATTAATATCTTAATATAAGTTCTTCTAACTCGAAATAGAAACAACAAGCTCGCCCTTTTGTTTTGGAAGATTTGGCAACGACAGCGCTACCTAAGCCCATCCTTTCTTCACTTGTGTGACAAATCAAGAAGTTGGTTCAGTGAGGAAAGATAGGGAGAATCTTTCTTGTTGCGGAAAAGCAAGGGAGACAAATATCGAGATTGGGTTCGCGCTCTGTAACTAATAGAGAATTCCCTTATCTGACGGATACTTGGCTTAGAGAGCAGCTAACGTCCTCGGCTGAAGCAAAGATAAGCTAAGCCTTGGCGCAACTCTGCCCGAATCACCCTAGTCTATTGGACATATCTGTCAAAACCCTCTTCTCCTTCAGACTCGACTACACGTAAAAGTTGTCTCGGCTGAAGCTAACTCTCTTTCATGAGTGCATAGATGGATGATTTCTCACTTATCACAGCTTGTTGAGGCAACTTCTAAGTTGGCATACCTTGCATACATCGAAAGAAGAACCGCTCTTTTCTCTTTCTTCAGACTTTCAAGTGACATCCATCCCATTCCCGTTAGTGCTACTCTGCCTTCTTTCCCGGCATATCTGCTTTCTTGTCACATATGCGCTGCTACTAGTTAGAATAAGCAACTAATAAGGTAGACTATCGCATATCTGCTTGAAGCTGGTGGTATACATACGCATATCAGCTATAGAAGGAAGCAGAATAACTTAGTCAGAATCAATCCCCTTTTTAGGAAAGGAATGGCACTAGACTCAGATAGAGCAAAGCTCGCAATATGAGTGTTTGTTCTGCTTTCACAAATGGATCAGCAGTGATCTCTACTGCACCTGAGCTAAGGGGTTGAATGTCGAAACCAACCATCCCCAGAGTGCGGTGAAAATCCAATATCGATCTGTCTTCCGCTTTATTAATACATTGATAGCCTGATTAGTAGAGGATTCAAACCCCATAGAATGGTATGAGATAGATGCCTTCCAATCGTCAGATACAATAAACGATTTTATCTATGCATTCATTGAATACTAAATCTCACTAAACCTTCTTTCTAAGTATGATAGAGGTGACGAATGGAGAAAGTTTGATCTCTTCCGACGACAAAAGTGATCAATTGTTGGGTTTTTGGGGTTCTCTTATTAGGCAAAGAGGTCGGATAGCGAAAATAGCGGGGAAAGACAAAGATCTCGCTTCAGTATGGCTAGGCAGCAGCAAGGAAGGTCTCTCTCGCATCTACACTTTCGAAGCACGTGCATAAGAGCTTGAAGTGATTCCATTTCTTTGTTTCAAAGCACCACTTGGTTCTAAAGGACCAGTCTAATCTTATCCTTTCTTTTATTGGTTAATCCATTTTTCGGAAAAGGGTTATACTATAACTATCGGATGGGGTCCTCTAAGAAAGAGAAAATTAGCATTGCCTCGCAGTATTGTCCTTATTCTGCCTTATATCACACCTTATCCACTCGTTAAAAGGGGGCCGGGAGTGGAAATAGAGCTCCAACCCAACTACTAAACTACTATTGGTAGAGGAGGTCAAATTCCTTCGATCAAGTGAAAGCTGCAGGATAGGCCTTTTGCTTTTGATAACCGATTCGAAGGAAAGGCAAACTAGGACGCGTTAGAGATAGCAGGTTCTAGGGCAAAAAAACGAATGTTGTTCCATCCCCTTTCATCTTTTGCTAGCTCTTTGTCAAGGTCAAGTTCTCTTCGCTTTCTGCTGCCCTTCCTGTTGAAGTGAAGTTCTAATTAGAAAGGCATATATTTCCATGTAAGTTGTATGCTATCCTGTTGGAGTGGCCTACAAGGTAGGGATATG